GTAAACATTATTCCCATTCATAATGTGACTGTGTATTGACATTTAATATTTATACTATTATGGCCCATTAAAATTGACACTTTTATGTATTTTTTAAAATTAAAAAAAATGGTTAATCACACCAAATATTCCAGCTGTTGGTTATTAGGCTATCTTTATTTAGTAGTTCGCAAATTATATCTTTTAAGCTAATTTTGATAATTTTTCTCTCTAAATACATTTAGCTAGATGTATTTGGTATTTTAAAGTTTTGTGACATTTGATAAAGCCATAAACTATATGTGACCATAATTGACAAAAGGTACCTTATCGCGGGTAGTGAAATTTGTCTTTCTAGCCTAAGAAATCCAACTTCCTGAGCTCCATTTATCATAAAATTACTCCACAGGATGCAAAAAGTTACCATGAAACTTTTAGAAACAATGATTGTCTAACAAAGCACTCACAGGTTGATATTTTCCATTATAACAATCAATTTTAAAATCCGCCATAAGGGCCCTTTTGTCAATTATGGTCACATATTGTTATAATTATTTATCATTAATTTGTTTGTATAGCATCACACCATAGACTAACAATTAAAGATTTAAATGAAGTATTAAATGATTTGAAGAGTGGAGGGTTTTCTGATGAAAGCTTTTTTGGCCTTGGTCTGGAGTTAGGTTTGCATCATCGGACACTGAATACTATCAAATCGGACAACATGAAATCAGAAGACCAACTTAGGGAGTGTATTTCAAAATGGTTGATGAGATTAGATGATGTTGATGAATGTGGAGGAGCAAACTGGACAACGTTATGCAATGCAGTAGAAAAGATGAACCGAGCAGCAGCTGATTTTATTAGTTAGTTATTATTGTATAGCCTAAAAATCTAGTGTGCCTATGATTTTTATATTAATAATTATTCTTGTAGGAGCTAAACACAATATATTGGCCTCACAACCAATGGAGCAGAGTATGTATCTTACTATTTTATTAATTTATTAATTTTTTGATAATTATTTTTATAGGCTACCCTCAAAATTATGTTGAACCAGACACCCAGACTACAGGTATACTGTGTCATTAATTAGCAATTAATGTGTATCACTGAATTTAATTTTGTTCTCTGCCAATTAAATGACATATTAGATTTTAGCTATATATACACTGTGCATGTACATGAAGGAGTCTGTGTGGTTTTAAACCATTCTCTCATAAAATGTACATGTTGTCATCTGATGTAGAATTTTAATACAACTGAACAAAAATAAAACAATGTGAAGTTTTATCACATAATTATAATAAATTGTTTTGCACATAGGTTCTGATGAAGGGGCACGAAGAAGATACTCACGGAAATCTTGTAAGTTCTGTTATTAAAACAAAAAAATTACAATAAACTTTTATAGCTTATACTACCTTTACTCCAAGTGGGACAGAAGGAAATGATGGTTCTTCATATACTGGTATATATGTATATATAATATTATGGATAATAAGCATTATTTATTATTACTTTGTTAGTTAATTGGTCCCAGTACGCAAAAGTCTTAATTTTGGCTGTTGGACTTCTAGCTCTTGGATTAACTGCAATTATATTATTTTGGTTCCGTTAACACTAGTGATATTGATTGTCAGAATTTTTGATTTTTGTATTTTAAACTAGTCAAGCTAATGAACAATTATTATTATCATTATATTGTTTTTGTTTTTAGCGAGGCGCGAGAACTTGCCATTTTTGTAATTTTTTCTGATGCATATACATACATGTTCTTATATTGTGTAGCAAGTTTGAGCTGATTCCAATCAAAATTGAATTTTTAAAGTTACTCAAAATTTTGCCAAAAATGACAAAGAGACAGTTCTCTATTTTTATAATTTATTCTGATACATTTACATGCTCTTATGTTCCGTAGCAAGTTTAAGCTGATTCTAATCAAAATTGAATTTTTTATGAATTTTAAAAGTTACTCAAAAACCGGCCAAAGTCCCTGTACTAGCAGGGGCGTATCTAGGAATTGAAGAAGGGAGGTGCTAAAGGCGCGCGAAGCGCGCCGCGATTTTGGCCACACCCACTTTTACGGCGGTAAAACGGCCTTTTCCTGCATTTTCGTCAATTACGGGTGGGGCCAAGATCATTTCAAGCATACTGCTATGTTACTGGTACTTCTGATTGCTCCTTAAAGCACTGGAAACTGCTGAAATCATGATCAGGGGGCTAGATAACTTTGTTAAGAGGCTTGGTAGTGATGCAAGAGTCCAGGACTTCAGTAATTTTTTTGAGCCCAGCCCTGAGGGGGGTGCTCAAGCCCCCTCAGCCCCCCCTTAAATACGCCTCTGACTAGAACGACCAACAAAAATACGAAATGAAAATCCTACCCTCGTGACGCAAATTCTACTCTACATTGTATTTTCAATGTTATTATGTAAGAATTACAGATCACCTTGCAATGTAGAGTAGAATTTGCGTCACGAGAGTAGGATTTTCATTTCGTATTTTCGTTGGTCGTTCGGAATCCTACTTCATCTTGTTTTTTTAAATTTTTTATGTTCTTGTTTGTGTTGATTTTTTTATAATATTTATAATATTTTTTTCAGTTACAATTGTGATACTTTTTGATTTTACACAAACAATAAGTTTCTTTATTATTGTTGTCATTGTTATGATTTTACAGCATTTATGAGGGACAGCACTGATTGAATTGAATAGATATGGTGAAGGAATATCTACTATACTGATGACAAGTGTAATGAATACTATAGTCTTGATGTGAATCCTAGTTCAAGAAGCTCTATCTTCCCAGCAATCCTGTAGCTATTCCTGCAGGTTCTTCCTGTTGTCAAGTTCATATTATCAGGCCCGTAGCCAGGGGGGGTTCGGGGGGTTCGGACGAACCCCCTGTTGTAGCTGCAAAAAAGTTTTAGATTAGCTCCTGTCATGAAGAACAGCACTGCAAAAGCAGGATTAGCATTTTGGCAACAGCGAGAAGCACAGATATCCATTTTAGCTGAGTCAGCACATGGCTGAGATGCGTAAATCAAGACCACGCCTACCAACCACGCCTATTATTCGTCAAAATTTTAGCTGCGCGCTTCGCGCGCAGCAATTTCCGAACCCCCTATTTTAAGTTCCTGGCTACGGCCCTGATTATCACTAGTATTATAAACATTAATTAATTGTTTTGTGTTTTTGAAATAAAATAATTCATTACATACTTGATGTATGCAAGATTAATACCTTCTCTTAGCTGGAAACCTCCACTAAGTACTGCAATTTGATTCCAAGCATAGCTAGGTAAAAATACTTGCTGTTCCCAGTTCTGAGATCTGAGCATGCGCGACCACGCCCAAATTTTGGAGCACATGCTTCTTTAATTAACAAAATGGCGGCATGAGGTAAGCTGGTGCGATCCAACAGTCACAGTATCACTTCTTCCTTTCTTAGAGAATGATTCTAGGGGACAAGGACCTGCGCATACCCTGTTGGAGTAGAATGGTGTAATAATTAGCCTTCTATCACCAGGCAAGATCGATATATCGACCGACAACTGGAGTGACAGGACTTGATGAAGATGAAAAAAGGTGGCTGAACAAAACGGCCGGTTTGCATATTTTTTTATTTTTCTCCCAGAAAAGGTATAGCTTTAAAAATAAATAAAAATATTCCAGTACATTCTGTCATTACTCTATGAGCAATATCAGATCTAAATGTACCTAATATGAATGATACAAATTTAGTGATTAGTGTGTTATTATGTTAATATCAACCATACCTTCTTCAGTCTCTCTCCTGGTTTGACTGATACTAGCAGTAGAGGAGTTTGAGCTAGTACTGTCAACTAGTATACACAAATAAAACAATCAGTTACAGATCAATTGATTTTAACTTACTCATTGATGAAGGGGAAGGTGGAGGACACTGGTTAATGTAGATTGTCATTGAAGGATCTATTCCAGTTAATTCAATGGGACAATGACTGTTGCTCCTGCTCCATCAGACAGACGTAGCTCGTACCTCAAACACAATCGCTCTAAAGTGGGCGTGGAGAATGTCACTGCTATGACGACATCAACGAGTAGTCTTAACGAGGAATCAAGACCGTCTTCCTCCAGTGGTAGTTTGAGTGGTGCGAGTGAGAAGGAGCCAATCAGATTGGTCCGAGTTTTACCAGTCAATTACCCGGGAAAGGGCAGAGGAGCTGTTATTGTAAAGAGTGGAGATGATAATAATAATGATAGTGAGAAGAAAATGGAGACAGAGAAAGAAGAGAATGATGATGTAGCAGAACATTCGAATGACATTAGTAAAGCTGGTGATCTGATTATTGAAGAGACTGATGAATGGATACTACCAACTGATGAGCAAGGACCACTCCCTCCCTCTCTCTCTCCCTCTGCCCCCATCACCTCTCATCATAAGGAAGACATTGGGATTGAAGAATGCCATGATAATAAATGAGACTATACAGTTACCACAGAGGCATGCATTTGTCTTAAAATCACAACCAATTAATAATAACTAGGCGAATGTAAAACATTGATGGGGCGAGCCTAAGCAATTAAAGCAATGTACATACAATAGATATTGACAGACTAACAATACTCATGACAGTGCAACTTAAGCAGCTCAGAACTTGATTGGGTGCAGTGTAGTTCTTGACCTACCTTTGTAATCAAATCAAGTTTAGCATTTGGAAAGCATTAAAGATAGCTAGAAACAGTCACTGCACAAATGATATGGCTAGATAGGCAACTGTAGCAATGTAGTCCAAGTTAGTTCAGGCTGTGACAGACATTCAAAGTCATTCACATCAACAAAGATAGCATATCTGCTTTCTTAACATTCCTTGCCGTTGCTTTGGACAGCAGTATGCGAGTACAGTAAGTCGAGTTATCAGCAAAAACAAATTTCATAGTTACTTTATTGCATCTATAACCTTGCCTGGCTGTTGGAGAAGCCTTTGGACAGAATTTCTGTCTTATTTTGCTGCTAGAAAACTCACAACTTTTCCCCGTGTGTTGGTCACCATTTTATTTCATTGTGGCCACTCCCACTTTTAATGAAATATTGAAAACTAAATTTATATACCTTTTCAATGCATAGCATCTACCATATTACGCATGAATAGGGGTGACGTACATGTACAGACAGACAAACATACTCGTCTCGTTTATGTGGATAATAATTGTATATGTTTTTATTTTATTTCTTGCCTTTTTTAGTCTTGCTATGACAAAGCCTGATCGGCCCCTTATTGCCAGGTGATGTTGTACTCTCAGGGTTTCAGGACTGCCGAGACACTCGCTAGCAAGATAGTACCTTTCTTTAAGTAAGCAAATGTTAGGCTTTAATTAGAGTTGCATGGCTTTAATTAGAAGTGTTCATATTATGAGCATTAGATGACAAGCCATAAGTTTTAAAACCGGTCAAACCGGTTGTGGTATTTATTGAATAACGAGGCATTTGTCAGAGGATTAAAATCATTCTTTTGCATGTAAAGTACATGTACGTTAGCCTTTTAGCCTTTTACAGCTACATGTACACAATAAATATAGTCCCTACATCATGCAAATTCAATGCAATATGTACATGTACATGTATATCTTTCCATTTAAAGTTTAAACTTCTTGTTAGCTCTCTCACTTTACAGATTGTGTGATGAGGAGTTATTCAATCAGTCTCATTATGACTTTGGTCTGAGAGCCCTAAAGAGTGTACTGGTGAGTGCTGGTAATATCAAGAGGGACAGGATCCAGCAACTGAAGCAAGAACTGGCAGCTCAAGGACAGACACTGGAGGAAACACTGGTCGATAAGGTGGGTGTGGTTATGCTTCTAATTAAAGAGCACCTGGTCCTATGATGAGTATTAGATGACGAGCCATAAGTTGTGAAACTGGTCAAACCGGTTTTGGTATTTGATGAATAACGAGGCATTTGTCTGAGGACTACATTGTACATGTACATTTATAAAAGTTTACATTAATTACATGTACTATTATACATGTAGCTGTTGTATTTATTATTATTTTTAAATTTTAACAGGTACTGCAGATATACCAGATTCAATTGTTAGCTCATGGTGTGATGATGGTTAGCCCCAGTGGAAGTGGAAAGTCTTAAGCTTGGAAGGTTCTCCTTAAGGCACTTGAGAAGCTAGAAGGTGTTGAGGGTATGGCTCACGTCATGGATCCCAAGACGATATCAAAGGATAACCTTCCGGAGTACTTGATCCAAACACTAGGGAATGGACTGATGGACTGTTTACTCACATACTCAGAAAGTAAGGAATCATTATGTATACTGTATATGTAAGAAAGGGAGGAAGAGAGAAAAGCTTTAAAATAATATAGTTTTTAAACTAAATACTGTATACATGTACATGTACCGTATGTATTATAAACATGTAATATACTGTACAATGTTTATTACTTGTCAATTTGTACATGTACATGTACATGCATGTATACAGTATTATATTTTAACTCGTGTTGTGTATTAGACATTAAAATACACAGAGATATTGCATGCTTCCTAGTCAATGTTATTTTTTCTCTTTTTGCTGCCTAAAGTTACAGCTGGTCTTGCATTAGTGTCCAGTTGTCGTTCCCATTACAGACACCAATAATTATTAATTAATTAATGTGTCTTCTATCCAGTGTCATGTGCCAATGAATGATGTTACTGGACGCTTGTCGCTTGGACACACACACACACATCACATGACTATCACATGATCTATTATAATAGATTATTTATTATTGAATTTTTATTTATTAATTTATTTATCATTTATTA